CAGGCTGCAGAGTCCCGACGGACCCTGGATGACATCTCTAGTAGGGTTCCGCTCTTTACGGAGAGCAAATCTGCTCTTCCCCGCTGTCACTGCGGAGTCCTGCTCTGACCTGCCTTTAGACCTTGTCACACTTACAGCTTCTGTAAGAACTGCATCCCGTGCCACGCCTGGAATGTGCCATTACGGATCTGCGTGATGAGATTCCCACCAAGGTTTCTGGGGAAGAAGAAGATCACAGAAATGAATTGGACCTGTGCTACAGGAAGCTGGAGCGAAGCAGTATTGATTGGTAGGAAATATGCAAATCCAAGGTAGAATAGGGAGGAAACTGCTGCTTTCTCGATTTTTTTTGAACCTGTCAAGGAGAGGAAATGAAGTGCACATGTGCTTAATCTATTTCTGTTCCAGGATGCAGCAGCAAGCCTTCAAGAAATGGCTTCTATTATGGCTGCGTTTGGACGACCACGCTGTGATCTCTCATCCTGCTGTGGGTCATCCAGCCATCTGCATTGATCTCTTCAGCTCCGTCACTCTTTTAGCAGGAGAAATTTAGTCATAGTTCTAAAAGTAACAGGAACGTCTTCTAGCACCAAAAGGGTGATAAATGCCAACAGACTTCAGTAAATACACTAGAAAGAAACTTATATAACTCACATAAGCTGCAAAAAAGGAAGTGGCTCAAAAGCATGTTCCTCAATCGACAGGATCTTGTTGTAAGATAAATCCCTGTTAAAATTAGAACACAAAATGTTAATTACATTTGCACGGTCATGTTAACTTTCTCTTGCTTTGACACTGGCAGCATCTATGTTACATGGCTCTGATTTCATGCGGTGTTTATATCTGGTATTAGCTTGCAGTGGTGTGTAACCCGTGATAACCCTCCTGACCGAGGTGGCTTTCATCTCAGGGATTTTTTTTCTAGCTCTGATCCCACTAGAATTACTTTAGGGCTTGATTTCCCCCTCTGATAACTGAAAAGATTCTTTAGGCAGGCACAGTTTAGAAGCTGAGGAAGCATTTGCATGGTCCACACCGATTTGTGACCCTCCAGATGTGCCAGAGATGCAACCCACCTTCCCTGGGTGCCATCAGTGCTTTGTTTGCTGAAGTCAGCCAGGAAAGCCTGAGCAGAACCTCTTGTCTGAGGGCTCAGGGATGGGCTGGTACCCACACGTGTGAGGAAAATGGTTGTTTTCCTCTTAATCCCTTTTTGGTGAAAAAGTCATGTTAAAGGGATCCTGTGAAAGATGCAAAATCAAGATCATGGAAGTCTGGAAAGGGCAGAACGAAGGGGTAACCCAAAGTCCTCTTCCCTGTACAGCTCTGCTGTGAGATGCGTGTAGACACTCAGCCGCTGCAGGATTCACCTGACCTGGCTTTAGAAGTTTTAGTACCTTGTTTTCCACCATTCCCCAGCATTGAGACAAGGCTTAGATGCAGCCCTAGGGCTGGCTCACCACAGGGGAGCTCCAGAAGGGCGAAGACCACCCTGGACTTGGCTCTTTCCACACCAACGTGCATACTAGAAAATACAAACCCTCCCTTTTTGTGGGAAAAACACGAGCGTGTAAGGGCCACATTCAGTAAGTGACACTACAAATGCAAACGGCTGTGGAGCTGAGACACTTGCAGTGATCTATGAATAGGAGCAATGGAGGGGATTTTGGGATGCCTCTTTGTGTCCTCATTTCAGCCACTCTAATAACAGAGGAGTGGGACCCAAACCATGCCCCTCATGAGCCAATTACAAGCCAGGGCTACCCTTGCTGTCAGCTTTTTCACACAAGTAGTATTTTTATCTTTGCCGTGAGGTTTGTGCGCTGAGAAGTGACTGCACATTTGTTTCTCCTCCAAGAAGAGTGAGGACTCAGCTGGATACAGCCCTGGGCAACCTCACTGTTCTTTTTGTAGAAAACCCCCCTGTGCTAGCTCTGAGGTTAGCCCTGCTCGGAGTAGGAGGTTGAAGTAGAGACCTCCCAAGCCCAGTCTGTCTGGGATTTTAGCAGAGGAAGGCGTAGTGCAGGCTTCTCTTTCCACCTGGGATGGCCACTGGAGAGGCTGTTCCAAGAGCCAGCATCCATCTGAGGCTCCGTCCTCACCCCAGGGGAGGTCTGTCCACCCAAATCCTAGCAGAAGCAAAGCCTGCAGGGGTTTTGCCTTGCTCTAGGTGGTTCTCACCCCAAAATTGTTGGTTCTCAGATTGCCAGAGGCAATCTCCCAGGGCGCGGGAGGTCACTGTTAGCTTGGGGCTGACCACAGGTCAGCCAGTGTCTGTGCAAAGGGCAGAAGCCTCCTCCTCTTGGTTGGATTTGGGGAAGCGAAAGCTGCACTGTTCCCCAATGGGAATCCTCCCACCAGGCCCACAGCAGCACCGAGCCACCCGGCTCTGCTCTGGCTGCAGCCTGAAAGCGAGGAGGAATACAGCACACCGGCACGGGGCCAGGCCGAGCAGCAGGGCTGGAGGAGGGCGAGGGGACGGTACCTTAGAAATGCCTCTAAATATCTGCAGGGTGGGTGTCAGGAGGATGGGGCCAGACTCTTTTCAGTGGTGCCCAGCGACAGGACAAGGGGCAACGGGCACAAACTGA